AAAGCAAAGTGCTAAACTATATCCTGAATGTAATACATTTACAAGGCTCCTCAGAGGAAACTGTTTATGATGGTGAAATGTTAATATGTAACAAATGCACATGACATGTTTCTCTATTGCTTTCAGCAGTTTTAGTGTTTCACAGTTTCAGTGTTTCACAAGTATCCATCTCTCATTTTATTATACGACCTTTATGGTCCATATCAACAAATTCAGCAATCTACATTTCTAAACACACCATTATGCTGTGCACGTAGATAAAACATGACCTATACTTTACTTGTACAACTGGTAGTTTAAGAAATGAGGTGCAAAACAAGTATAGTCATGTTATCACACATTCACTCAAATGTGACCATAAAGAGCTAAGCAGGAAAAAAAGAGAACAATTTGCCCTCAGCCTTGGGGTGTTCCTGGTTACACTGGGATTACACCTTGTGAAAGCCTATGCTCATATGGTTATGTGGGGCCATGTGACAATTCACTTGTCCTTACAGAGGAGAGTTATAAACCTTATATTGCAAAGTGACAATTGAAATTTGAATAACATTACATCAAACAAAGGTGGAAGATTCTGTGGAAGGAGTTTACTTCAATCAGTAATAAATATTTTCTACAGTGCCTTCATGAGACAAATATTATAATCTAAAGGTAAACAACTCAATATTATTGATAGGCATTAATTATAGGCATGCACACAGGGTGTGTTGGGTGTTTTGTCAGAGAGGGGAGACATTGAAAGCCCCGGTGGTCTGGTGGTGGCCTTGGCATCCCTTTAGCCTGCAGCTTTTCTGGCTTCAGACTAAGTTCACTCCCCTTGTGAGCTCAAGGCTATGTCAGGGCGTATAGAATAAAAGGTATATTGGTTCCCCCATTTAGGAGGTCTCAAAAAAAATTTGCAATCCAGAACCCAAATACCTGCCAGAGTTAATATTATTTTATGTATGATTCCACTTTATGTTTTATAATATCATTAATGTCAATAATTATTGAGATCAATTCACTATAAAAATGACTTTTTTTCCACTACTTTTTGGCTACCAAACAGTGATAAGAACTGTAGCTCCAGGTTTCTCAATTCTAGATTTACTCATCACCGCTGAAAATGAAAAACGCGAAGTGTGAGAGGTTTAGAATTGTAATAATCCTTTGTTCTTTCTCCACTTCATTTTCTGTTACTTTTTCAGTTATCTTTCATTGTCATGCAGATAATCTACAAAGCTTGCAAAATAAAACCACATCTAAATAATATTTCAGCTTTTCAGTCTCTTAAAGATTGTTTTTTTCTTTTCTTTCCAATTTATAGAATCAATGAGATTTCTCGTCAGCTTCACTGTAGGTACTTTTCAGCAAGTAGTCTTTAAAGACATTTGGTAGACAAGAAATGTAATCTCTTCCAATGTGCATCTACTCTCAAATTGCATTCCTTATAGGTAGTCCCTTGCTTAAATAATAAAGTGGTCCTGAAAGAATTCACATAGACTTTCGCCTAAGGAAATGACAGAAGGTTAGCTACATGACTGTAGTATGATCCCTTGTCTGTTGCCATTACATTTTAGCTTTCTGTCCTCGGGGCATGACAGTAAGCATTAAATAAATGATAAACTCGGTTTTTCCTTACCTATTCTGCTAACTGTTTTAGTCACAAATGATTCCTTGCTGGCACTTGAGTGGCTGAAGTGGCAGTTCTATTAACAACGTCCCTTTTTAGATTATTGGACAGGTAAAATATAACACTTAGCAGAATCCCTTGCAGGATGTTATCATGCATTCTTAATTAATTTTCAGCTGTTGCAATCAATTGACTTTGTCACAGTTCTATGAATTAATTTGCATTTGGACCTGCAGAATGAAATTTCTTATAATAATAATGTCAGCCATAAATATATCTAAATGAAAATCTCCAGATTAACATCATGGTGAATCATAAAGCATTCTGGTGGTTTTCCAAATAACATGTTTCTATTATTATTATTGCCATTTATATAGGGCCAACATAGTCGGCAGTGCTTTATTATTATAAGGCAATTACAAAATGTTACAGGAACAATAGGTTAATGAGGACTCTGCTCAGATGAGCTTGCAATCTAGAGATTGTAATCTAGTTTCTACCACAAGGCAAATAATGTAATGCGCATCCAAACATATTTTTTTTGTATACAGAACATGATGCATATAAATATAACATTAAAATATATTAAGACCTAATAGTAATTGTTGTAAATGGCATGACCTAACTAAGGTCTTGTAGATGGAAATGTTAGAAGCATAGGGACATAAGCAGTCTAATGTCTATTGAGATTCAGCAGTCATTCATTATCCATGTGTTATACACTTTATACACAAAACTAAAGAGATCCAGGAGCAAAAGTAACTCAATGATAGCAAGGAAAGATAATAAACAATCAATGAATAAAGCATACTCAGGCACGTTGATAGGAATATTGGGGAAAGAATCTGGAATCAGGTTTTAGTATTTGCTGGATTCCCCATTACTGGAACTAGTAATTAAAGAATATGTCTATAGGAAAAAAAGCTTATTTTGGAGCATAGATATGGTAATCCTAGACTGTTGCAACCTAGAGGAGATCGTAAAAAAAAAAAAGTAGATACGTTAAGAAATTACAGAATAGAGAGCCTGAGAAAGTCTTTAAGGACTAGATAATGAGAGCAAAATATACACAATACATGATCCCACATTTAGGGTCACCATGACCACTATAGGCATCCAGACCACTTCAGCTGAATGAAGTGGTCTGGGTGCCAGGTCCATCTAGTGTTAACCCTGCAGCTGTAAACATAGCAGTTTCAGAGGGTTAATCCAGCCTCTAGTGGCTGTCTCACTGACAGCTGCTAGAGGCGCTTCCGCGATTCTCACTGTGAAAATCAAAGTGTGAAGACCCTGGCCATCCATTGGAAAGCATTGAGAAATGCTTTCCTATGGACTGTTTGAATGTGTTCCCCAGCACCGAGGTTTCATATATATATATATATATATATATATATATATATATTTGGGAGTCTAGCCAACACCTTGGTTTTGCACCTCTGCCTCATCCCTGGGCCCTATTTAGCCTTGTACTGCAGAGACCCTCAGATGGATTTTTTCCCCAAGTTAATCGCATAAGAGCAGCCACTAGTCTGTTAAAGTAGGACCTGCTAAAGATGGGGTACATTGACTTTGTGGCAGGCATATACAATGTATGATCACATAATGTAACTAAACCCCCATTATTTTTACCTAGATTAGGTGTTTTTTATAAAACAAACAAAATCTGTCAACATTGAAGTTGTTGTTTAGTAGATAGGTGAGTGCACTGGATTATGAGTTTTTGCACATTGTATAAATTGGCCCCCAGCAGCACTCCATTTATGCATTTATGCATGGTCAGGTGAGTATAGCCCTCTGGTTTCATATATATATATATATATATATATATATATATATATATATATAAAATGTCCAAATACTTGCACTCCTGTGATAGTAAGTTAATGCCCGGTGCTAGTAAAGCAAATAACATAAAAAAACAAAGTAGTAGGTAATAGCACTCCAAGGACTTCAAAAAGTATATGGTGAAAAAAACTTAGCTTTTATTCAGCAGCTGCCACACAGAATCAACGTTTCAGTTCTAGTACAGAACTTTCATCAGGATAAGGTGCATTACAAAAACCAACATTAATATAACAAACAAATAAGTACATAGTATACAAAACAGGTGAGGCTTACCCCAATCCCTGTGTGGTCCCCATGGTGATCGCCAACAAACGCGGGCAAACTTGACCCCTAGAAGTGTATTCAACAGCTGGGATGTGCTGCTGTATGGCCTCGAGCGCTGGCAGTAGCTGGAGCCGACGGCTGTCAGTGTTGACATGTCGTCATGGTAACCAGCCGCTCGTGTGGAGGTGGGCGGGGCGGAGAACCAAGTGGGCGGGGCTATGGTGCGATCGGTGCAGAGTGTGCAGCGCACGGAGGGCGAGCCGGAATCTACTGTGAGGGAGGGATCCTCTCTCTACACTGTAGTGCTTTGCCGTCCAGGGAATGAACGGAATGGCAGTAATCTGTACTAATACTGCAGACAGGGGCAGGGAGCAACTTGATAAAAAGTAAAAATAAATTGAATCATCTAAGGCAAAGAAGTGGCAAAATAGAGAATAAGCCTGAATAAGGCTATTATATGGCCATAGGGGGCTGAAATGAAGACATGTATATAGTGCCTCAAAGTTAACTTGCAGATAGCAGGTTCTAAGACTGGACAAAGGGTGAGATTAAGTCTGCATTCAAGATGCTAGCTCAATAGTTGTAGTGTAGCAGGGGCTAGATGTCCCAATGTCTGGTGCTTAGTGATGGCACTCAATGAGCAGACAGGGGGTTAATGAGGGTAAACAGTTAGCCCTCAATTAAGTACAGAGGACATGCTATCTATATTAAGGTGGGTATACTATCCCCAAGATAGCTGTGAAGTAGGTCAGAATGTGTTGCCAACCTTTGTGGCATAATCATACATGGATAGTTTTATATCCGTGGTTAGTACTTCAACCATGGATAGAATTATATCTGAGCCTATGGATGTATTAAATGGCTACACATTGTAATCCACTGTCCTAAGAGGAGTGCTAGTGGTTCTAAAGCCCCTGCAGGGACGTGTGTCAAACTTACTATCACAGGAGTGCAAGTATTTGGACATTTTGTATTTTCGGTCTGAATGGCAAAGGACCAACTATGCACTCGTGTCAATTTTGATGTACATGCGATATAGCTCCTCAGTCAAACAATATCGGGGCTAGTTATTGCTTATACGTACCTCTTGTACTATTGTATCTTTGTATCATTGTAGCTTATTTTTAACTATTTCACTGCTGCCACTCATTCTTTATCAAGGGCATCTTGCAGAATTTTTTCCAGCAAGATTGTAACCAGAACTGTTATATATATCAGCAATAGATATATACACTAACCTTTTTTTCGTACATTGCATGCACACGGGTGCTTAATCTCTATGGAAGAGTTCTTTGCACAGGCAGGCGGCTTGCTGGAGCAGGCAGAAACCTTACAGTACACAGAGGAAGACGCAGAACGGATTAGGTGGGATGAACTGACCACAGATCTCCCCCAAACTACTACCCTCAAAGAAATCTACCTGGAACTGATACGGCTAAAAAAGAAAGAGACTGACTTGGATTTGCATGGATTGTTCCTATCGGATTACCATAGGAGATTACAAATACCAAGGGGGATTAAGAACATCCCTACAATAGGGCGAGCAAAACCAAAAGTCTGCAAGAAATGGATTGCAGTACTAAATAAATGCTCCCTAGACCTGATCCTTATCATCATAGAAGACGTAAAGGAAGATCTCATCAAGATTAGACAGCGCATTACACTACTTGAAGCAAAGGAGGCCTTACTATTAACCTCAGAAGAAACAGCCCCTACCCTGTTGAAACTTGAACAAAACGTTAAAGAGTACAAGACCGACCTGATTAGATTCAAGCGTGAAAAACAAGAAAAGGTCAAGAGCGACTACACGGAACACAGGGTATATAGGTGGTTGAGCGGCCAGAACGAGGCCCCACGCTTCACAAGGAACAGAAGACCCATTAGGAGACCAAGGCAATATACAATTGATAAAACCTCAGCTGACTCTACCTCAGACTCAGATTCCCAACCAAGAACCCAGAACGCACAACAAACGAACCTTTTTTTAGAGAAGGGCAACACAGCAACAGGCACCACTACGAGACAACGGGCCAGACAAGATATCGAAGAAAACAACATATCACAAGAAGAGGACAGAAGGGCAGGATTTACTGGGCAAAGAGGCAGACCACCACGCCAGAGATAGTACCAATTTTCAACCTATCGACACGGCAACTAACCAACACAGAGAACAAGCTACTGATGAGAGGCCTCTCCTTTGTACCAACTACATATCCCAACCCACTTACTCAGGAGGTGGAAATCTACAAGTTTGGGAGAAACTTAAGATTGAAAGATTTCTTCAAATCACAGAGGACACAAGAACCATCGATCAAGATGTTTAAAGCTAAGAGTACGTGGGATCCCTTACCCAATCAGTCCACAATAAAGACATTTCTCAAATCTTTAAATTATGAAACCCAATTACACCTTAATCAACGAACGAAACACAAAACTAACATCACCAAAGATGAAAGAAAGATAATAACTTCGCTAGCCAAAGACCCAAGTCTGATCATTCGACCAGCTGACAAAGGTGGGGGTATAGTGCTTCTGAATTATACGGATTACAGACAGGAGATCCTTACACAATTGGGAGATCTGACTACGTACTCAAGACTTACTGCAGATCCCACTCTAACTACAATGCAAACCATCCAACAGACCCTCCAAAGAGGACTGGAGGCAACCTACATCACCCAGGAGCTTTTTGACTTTTTATTACAAAAGAACCCGAGAACGCCAGTGATATACACGCTGCCTAAGATACATAAAGACCCCAAATTACCACCAGGAAGACCCATTGTTTCAGCAATAGGAGGGGCCCTCGAACCAATAGCCAAATGGCTAGATTACCTGTTCAAGAAACCCGTTGAGGAGTTGCCTACTTGTATCAAAGACACCCCAAGCCTTCTTAAACTACTACAACAATTTACTGGACAAGAGGCTGAGTTTACCTTTATAACATGTGATGTTAAAAGCTTGTACACTATTATCCCACACGACATGGGTATCAACGCTATGCGGACAATCTTGACATCTTCATCATCATACATGGGACCACCTGTCGAGTATGTACTAGAACTACTACGCCTCGTACTCAGTCTTAACTACTTTAGATTTGAGCATACCTGGTATAAACAAATTGCAGGAACTTCAATGGGGGCGGCTATGGCGCCAATGTACGCCAATAGCTACATGTACATATTTGAAAAAGACCATATACTCACGCCCTTCAACGACAATATACTGTTCTACCGCCGATTTATCGACGACATCATTATCATCTGGAAAAATGGGGGACCCACACCGAACCAAATGCTTAATACTATCAACAGCCTGGACACACCAGTCCGCCTCACAATGACAACCAATGACAAGCAGATTGACTTCTTAGATGTCCGTCTGTATAAAGAAGAGGGCAAAATAGCCTATACTTTATTTAACAAACCAACAGACAGGAATACCCTCCTGCATGCTGAAAGCCATCACCCGAAACATCTCATTAACTCACTTCCACAGTCACAATTTATGAGAGTAATACGTAATAATTCCAATGTGGCAAACACCCAACTCCAATTACAAGCTATGTGGGAAAAATTCCTTGCATGGGGTTATAAACCCAGGGATTTGTCTAAGGCATTGGACAGATGTTATGAAACACCGTCACAGATCACAGCAACAACAGTATCAACTGAAAGATTGATATTCCCAATAACGTATACCACCATATCTGACGAGATTAAACAATCAGTGGACCGCAACTGGCGAATCCTACAGAACAACACCAGTTTGCCACCTCAATTCAAGCAGCGCCCAATGATGTGCTACCGTAGGGGCAGTAACTTGAGGGACCTATTGATCAAAACTGACCCCACACACTGCTATAGCAAACCTACTACCTACCAGAACCTGGGGTGTCACAGATGTTTGGGCTGCGTGACATGCAGCCACATGATCCCCAGTAAATCGTTTGTACATCCACACACCGGCAAAAAATACCTCATAAAACACAGACTTACCTGCACAAGTGACTTTGTGGTATATAAATTGGGGTGCCCTTGCGGTTTGATGTACGTGGGAAAAACCGACTTACCACTATGAGAGAGAATTCGCAACCATCGTTCAAGCATTCGTACAGCCTATAGAGACAATGGGTCAGAACAGCCGGTGGCAAAACATTTCCTGGAACATAATCATCCCCTACCAACAATGAAGTTTTTGGCCATTGATCACATCCCACCACCCTTACGGGGTGGCGACTGCAAGAAGCTCCTATTGCAAAGAGAGCTCTACTGGATCCGAACACTGGACACTGTGCAACCCAGAGGACTAAATGAAAAATACACTCTAGGTATATTTTTATGATATATCTCCAGGACTGAACCAAAAAACATCTTTTCACTTTAATGTCTTCATATGTATTGGACTTAATGAATGGGTCACCTCTGCATATTACTTTTGCCTTTATGCCTGTATGTTCCTATATCTATGTTAATTGTACTGTGGACTGATGGGCACACCATGCTCTGACACATTACCCTTGGATAGCATCCTTACTGGTTAACCGATCACAATATTCAGGACATCACACGTATCTCCTGCATATACATGTACAGACGGCACTGGCCCTTTTTGACACACGTCCCTGCAGGGGCTTTAGAACCACTAGCACTACTCTTAGGACAGTGGATTACAATGTGTAGCCATTTAATACATCCATAGGCTCAGATATAATTCTATCCATGGTTGAAGTACTAACCACGGATATAAAACTATCCATGAATGATTATGCCACAAAGGTTGGTAACACATTCTGACCTACTTCACAGCTATCTTGGGGATAGTATACCCACCTTAATATAGATAGCATGTCCTCTGTATTTAATTGAGGGCTAACTGTTTACCCTCATTAACCCCCTGTCTGCTCATTGAGTGCCATCACTAAGCACCAGACATCGGGACATCTAGCCCCTGCTACACTACAACTATTGAGCTAGCATCTTTAATGCAGACTTAATCTCACCCTTTATTCAGTCTTAGAACCTGCTATCTGCAAGTTAACTTTGAGGCACTATATACATGTCTTCATTTCAGCCCCCTATGGCCATATAATAGCCTTATTCAGGCTTATTCTCTATTTTGCCACTTCTTTGCCTTAGATGATTCAATTTATTTTTACTTTTTATCAAGTTGCTCCCTGCCCCTGTCTGCAGTATTAGTACAGATTACTGCCATTCCGTTCATTCCCTGGACGGCAAAGCACTACAGTGTAGAGAGAGAATCCCTCCCTCACAGTAGATTCCGGCTCGCCCTCCGTGCGCTGCACACTCTGCACCGATCGCACCATAGCCCCGCCCACTTGGTTCTCCGCCCCGCCCACCTCCACACGAGCGGCTGGTTACCATGACGACATGTCAACACTGACAGCCGTCGGCTCCAGCTACTGCCAGCGCTCGAGGCCATACAGCAGCACATCCCAGCTGTTGAATACACTTCTAGGGGTCAAGTTTGCCCGCGTTTGTTGGCGATCACCATGGGGACCACACAGGGATTGGGGTAAGCCTCACCTGTTTTGTATACTATGTACTTATTTGTTTGTTATATTAATGTTGGTTTTTGTAATGCACCTTATCCTGATGAAAGTTCTGTACTAGAACTGAAACGTTGAATCTGTGTGGCAGCTGCTGAATAAAAGCTAAGTTTTTTTCACCATATACTTTTTGAAGTCCTTGGAGTGTTATTACCTACTACTTTGTTTTTATATATATATATATATATATATATATATATATATATATATAGGAGTCTAGCCAACTCCTTGGTTTTGCACCCCTACCTGTCACAGGTGCCTTATCCCAGGGCCCTACTTAGCCTTGTACTGCTGAGAGGCTCAGATGAATTTTGTTCCCCATGTTAATCTCATAAGAGCATACATTAGGCTGTTAGAGTAGGACCTGCCAAACATGGGGTATAGTGATTTAATATTAGACTGCTGTTAGATCCTGAAGACTAGTTTAAAGGCTTCATATGTAGAGGGGTTCAAAATATCACAAATGAGAAAAACTAAAAGATGTCATGGGAAGAGACAAAATACAGAAGCAGAACAAGGGATAGACGTAAGAAGCATAATAACAGAGATATGAAAGCAGGGGGGAAATTCAGCACTAGTACAATACTGGTACCGTTCAAAGAGGCAGCTAAATTACCATACCAGGATCCCCCTTGTCCAGTAGAAGTTAATATAAAATGGAAGAGTAAGCGTAGCGCCTAAGATGTCCTTGGAGGTATATGTAATGACAAAAAAAATAAACTAATAGTGTAATTCTTAAAATATGGTGGAGTAAAAAAGATAAAATGTATACACTTTTTAGGAGCTTAAATTTAATTCCAACGTGAACAATTCAGCGGAATGATATCTGCCTACATATATTGTGAAATACAGGTTCTGCCTGCAGTCCTCGTAATGATGGATTTTCTCATAGATATGTGGAAGAAAATAACAGTATACAGTTTAGTATGTCAAACCAAATTGCAGAAATAAATCAGCATAAAAATGTGCACTCACATATTGTGAATCTTTATAATATGTGACTCCAAAATATGTGAGGGCTCATCTTTCTACTAATTTATTGATGCAAAACAAGGAAGGATGCAAACATTTAAAATATTTATTTAAGAAAAAATTGAATGTAAATAAAATTTTATCTAAAATCATATGCAACATTATCCATCTGACACATTTGTTTACTTCATTTAGGAGGTTTGAACAGTCATATAATAACTAGTGAGCATCACAACTGCTTTACATTGTATAAGCCTACCGCCAGTACCTATTGGAATTTGTATTAAAATATAAAAAATATAAAATTCAAAATAAAACTCCACTTGTATGGTTACTAAAGAGTTGTGAAATGCTCTTGAGGTCACCATCTTTTATTGTTCATATTCACTTGTTTGTGGGAGCAGAAATATCCTATAGTCAGTTCAGTAGCCAATCCATTAACATATTATTTAACTTAATATTTGCATTAAATTAATATTTTAACAATAGGCATAAGCTTAATATATACCATGAGCTAGACTTGAGTACAGCAAACAAATTTGGTTTGGTTGAATCGATTCATCTAAAAGTTTGTGTTTTAG